CATGACAAAGAACACCTGGTTGAAACTAAACCTGAATTAGGCAGGAATTCTCCTGGTAGCTGGAAGAAAAGCCTATGGTATTAGGAGTACTCCAGGATCTCGCTGATGCTAAGTTTTCCTACAGTAACATTGGCATGTTAAACATTTTACAGTCTCTGGCTGGGCAGGAGTCTCAATTCCTTCCCGGTAGTTAATGGTCCCTGGCCTCAATTATACACATCCTTATCTTCTTCCAGTTGGAAGAGAGACATACAGTACACTTGGGCACAAGGCCATGAGCCCTCTGCAAAGATACAGAAAACTATCCCATAGCTCCTCAGAAACAGAGGCAGTACTAAGAAAGAAATCAAGCTTAGCAGTTTTCAAAACAGATAATCTTACTAAAGGTATAAATAAAACAATTCTGAACTCAAGATATGGGTTTTTTTGTTTTGATTTTTTTTGGGGGGGGTTGAGTTTGTTGTTTTGTTTTTGTTTTTCACTTCAAGGTGTATATAGCACTAACCAGGGATGGGTAGATGGGTTCAACTCTGCCTGCTCGCTCTCTCAATTTCTCATCTCAGTCCCTAACCCAAACACTCCTGCTCATGCTTATTTAGCAACTAACTCCTGTAATTCACAGTCTAGGATGCTAAGACACACAAAAACTAGTGTTTATTGTAATGCACTGCGTAGAAAACTGCAGAAAATTCAGCAATTGCTACATATATAACTACATTTCTCTTGGAAGCTGGGGTGGTAACCCTGAGAAGGTGACAAAATGTTATAACACACATAATATAATATTGTCTGATAGCTATAAAAACAGAACAAAGACTATCAAAAGAAACAAAACACTAATTCTCAGCTGAACAGCATGTAGGAAATAGAATTGCTAGTCCTTTTATTCTGCTTTAGCAGTACTAAACTTTCCGTCCTAAATGATTCTTATGCAAATTAAAACCATATTCCAAGACCAGCTAAAATTAATCACAGAATCATAGAATGGCATAGGCTGGAAGGGACCTCAGAGATCATCTAATCCAACCTCCCTGTCATGGGCAGGGATGCCTCTCAACTAGATCAGGCTACTCAAGGCTCTGTCCAACCTGGCCTTGAACACCTCTAGGGAGGGGGCATCCACAACTTCTCTGGGCAATCTATTCCAAAGTCTCACCACCCTCGTACTGAAGAATTTCTTCCTAAAATCTAATCTAAATCTGTTCTCCTCCAACTTAAACCCATTTCCCCTTGTCCTATCAGTGGACACTCTTGTAAAAAGTCCCTCCCCAGCCTTCCTGTAGGTTCCCTTCAGATATTGGAAGGCAGCTATTAGGTCCCCTCGCAGTCTTCTCTTTTCAAGGCTGAATAATATAACTTCTAAGAACATAAACAATAGGATTGTTTGTGAACAACATCAATGAATGAATGAATGATGAACCCATCAATGAATACACTACAAGAGGAATAAACGAAGGAATTTAAACCAGTGTCACCTTGCAATTTTTGCAAAATTAAGAGTTGGTCACTGAAGTTCAAAATTCTGCAGAAACTCAGGTTTTAAGGACTTTGCAATCCATTTTAGTAGAATGAAAGAACATTAAAATAAAAGAAAAGCTTTGAAAGGTGAAGGACTGATTAAATATAAATCTCAATTGAACGTATCACAAAGGGCCAACACCAGAGTTTCTTTTAATAGTTTGTTCCACTTAAAAAATCACCTTTATCAGTTAATGCCGATTTCATTTTTTCTTTTACAGGCTGTTCTACTTACTCTGCGGAGCTCAACACACCAGCAATAAGCACATATTCAGATGTGTCCAGAGCCTCCAGTATTCAGCATTTGTGATATCATTTTTATTATTCTCTTCCAGAGGAAAAATGTATGGGATTTAACTCATTTTTCTTTTAATGCACAGAAGACTCTCCATTACCTGAACTAATGGGCTTTGGGATATCCCAGTTAATCCAGACAGCATGAGAGCTGCACAGAGACAGAGACAGCCCAGTAAAAGTCATTAGCTTTGTCTCAGTGTCAACCCAACTGGAGCTAAGCTGCCTCTTTTTTCCAGCCATCTAAGCATGTCTGCGCTGTGCTCCTGAGCGCTACGGCTTGCTTATATCAGGCACAATATCATGACCTCTCAGGAACCACACCAGGTCTACTTTTATACTCAACCTCACAGGCTTTTTGAGACACTGGACAGCATGATAAGGAACTATTCAAATGGTCACACTTTGAGCCAGTCTGACAGGTCCTGCACTGAGCTAACAAACCATCAAAGTCGAATCTATGCTTAGTGAGTTTAATGTCTGCATAGATTTCCCACATGCCCAATTCCAGATGCATACCGCAGAGACACCCAACTGGGCTCTGTAGAGAGCAGGGCTGGGTCCATAAAATTCACTAACTTGTACTCCATGCTGTGCAAAATCAGTTAACATACTTCTGGATCACAGAGCATTCTTGAAAAAGTATACCACGTTTATGCATTGTTGTGTACACACTGATAAAGTCAACATACCAACCTAAAGCTGTATGGAGGTTTTGCATCTGTGACCAGGATTAATTTGCAACCGGGAAAATTCTCCCAGGGATAGCAAAGTTAACTGCACTTATACCTTCCTCTGATTTAGGGAAAGGAACATGTAATATTTCCCCACCACCACCTGCCCAAGTTCCAGCTCTGTTCTCTGGGCTGAGTAGAGTCTTCTCCTACCAGAATGCTGACTCAGTGATTTGACATGCAAGTTACCTGATCGCTTTCCAAACATCAAAGCCATCCAAAGGCTTAGTGCCATTGGTATGTCCTCCAGCAAGGTGCACCAGTGTTGGCAGCCAGTCAGAGATATGGATGAGTTCATGACTTTCTACCCCTTTTTGTTTCAGTAAAGGACTTGCAACAAAGCCTACTCCTCTCACTCCTCCTTCCCAGAGGGTCCATTTTCTTCCTCTCAGCGGCCAGTTATTCCCCCCTGCCAAAGTCTGTCCTCCATTATCTGAAAAACAAGTAATCAAAAGGAATTATTGGTAAGGAAGCAACAGAACAATCCTCTCCACAACATTTATTCATCCATCTGAGAAAATATTTTCACAATGTAAGTGTGCTATGCAAGTACTTCCATGACACTTGCTCTTAAGTTTTCATAAAACATGTTGCATGTTCAGAGCACATAAGAAACCTACATTAATTCTTGCCAGTCTTACAAATTACTACAATGAAAACTTATTGCTAGGCAGAAATGATACCCTACTACAAGCCAATGATTTAGAAAGACTTTAAGAGCAAGCTCTGATGTTGATTCTAAATACCATTAGACATCCAAAGCTTCCAGAATCAGAGACTTCGAAAATACAGTTCCAGCTACTTTACAGACCACTAGAAGAGTTGCTATCAACACCATCATTAGTACTCACAATACATTGTTTTCCAAAGTGGTATGGTATATTTAAAATTGAAAACTGTTATTCTTGTGTTAGGACAATATCTGTCCTCCTAGTTCAGAACTATTGTTTTCCTAGATTTTTTAGGCAGTCACATTGATTTGTGCTATTACACAAATACCTGCATGAATTAGCCATAGCTCATGTAACTCTTTTATAATTCTCTCTGACCAAGCTTCCACACTTAGAATAAAATCCAGATTCTTGAAGTTAACAGAATTAATGATTCTTTGATGTTACTTCTGGTATTGCTGTACAGTTGTTTTTGTTCAAACCTCTTGTAATGATCTCAGAAGAGTCATTGATGGCAATTCTTTAAAGTGAAATTTTTTTGTATTTTAATGAGGTTAAATTATTTCAAATAGCAGTTGTTGAACTGACACTCAGTGTTAATTGATGTGTTTATATTGTATTTTCTCGTCAAAATAAAGGAATTTGATGGAAAAAACAAGAAGTACATGTCCAACACCTTACAGAAGAACTTTACTGTAATCAAACCACAACAAAACAAACTCCCTTCTGTTTCACTAATCAGGAATCCATGTAAACCCCCACTGAACATCTTTCTACTGCACACCAAAGACCCATTTCATTCTAGCAAGAAATAAACTAGTGCATGCCTCTGTGAACACTTTAAAAAGTGGAGGCCTATGCTAAATGAAGCACTTGGAAATAACAACATTATTTGAAAAGTGTAAAGCGTTCTGTGGCCCAACTAGCTTCCAGTAAGGCTGCTTGTGTGTCCAGCACTCTTGTGTTAAAAATAAATAAATTGAGAGGTTTATTGTCTTCAATAAGAAATGCAGGCAACCAAACACTTCATACCAATATTTCTCACACAAAAATGTTGAGCACTGAGATCTGAGAATGCAAGCAGTTGTCAGTTACCAAAAAAAAAAAAAAAAAAAATCAGTTTCAACAATTCCTTCTACTCTTAGTATAAACAGGAATTCCTGTCACAGATACTCATGGGACAGAGCTTTCAGTAGCTTTTAACCTTTGGTGGCCTTAGAATAAAAGGTATCCTATCTACACTATATTAAAGCGCAGTTTGGACATACAGTGAGATCAAATCTTAAGTATGTTACATATCGTCTTCACATCACAGGCTACTTACTGTCCATATCAGTTTAATACTAGCACATGAGATTATTTTTTTTACTCTTGAATACCAGCAACAAAGTACCAAGGAAATTATAGAAGTAGACTGTTTTTATGAAAAATAGAGAGAGAAAAGTGTGCATTTCCTGGGTTACAGTCAAATCTTTATTATACTTATTTTTTCTTTATTTTCTGTAATGTTGAAGACATTCTTCTTGTGCCAGTTTCATTATACAATAAATCCTCTGAGACAAAGAGTCTATCTAACATATATCCTGCAAAAACTCATGTGTTATCAGCATTCAGACATAGTACACTAAGTATATATATAAAAAAAAATTCCTGTTTTGATCGCTTATCTGATATATAAATGAAAAAACCCAATATATGAAACAAGTTTAATCTCACTCATTTTGACTTCTTGTTTTCACATTGCTAGAACATTATGATTTCCTTCTCCCTCAGGAATTCATGTTCAAAAGACCCTTTCTGCTTAATTTCTTACAGAGTTATTAAGAAAGTGTTGAAGGAGGGGAAAGGATGATTCCTATTTTGATGACCGAAGTTTGTTTCCTTTCTAGGTAGGCAGAACAGAGCTGATGTGTCACTGGCAGTTTGTACATAAGTGATACCGTTTTTCAAGGTTCTAGATAACCACTTCTGTATGGTCTGAAATATTATCTAGGACTTCAAATATCAAGAATTTGTTAAACAGCAGCAAGTTACATAATAATGAAAGATCATAATGCAGTCTATATAGATGAATTAAGCTAAACACTAAATCGCAAAGGTGAGGGAAGGCAATAAACAAGAAGCCAGTGATTGCATGAGGTGAAGATGTGGCAGAAAGAAAGGCATGAACAACCACTACAGGACTCTTAACTGGAGTTCTAGTTGGTCTTACCTAGGAGGGTATATCTAGACAGCAGGAGACAAAAAAAAAAAAAAAAAGGTACCTGCTATGTATGTTCAGGTATCTTTCCCCTAAGATACAGCTGTGTATGTATACAATTGATGCTAAAAGCTTGCATGGGTTCAGAAAGCCAACAGAGAAGGTAAAGATTCAAAAAAAATTGATAGCTTTTACATGAAAAGACATCACCTCTGTCTCAGGAATTTCTTCAGCCACAAACTGCTGAAGATTTGAAAACTTTTGGTGAAAGGCACAAACAATGAGTTCCAATACTGTTTCCTAGACATGCACTGCCAGGCATTGCTGTAGGGAGGGGATGCTTGGTGTGGATCCTCCATCTGTGGAAGTGCAGCCATTCTCACGTTCTCCCAAATAAAACTATTTCTTACCAACTCCTCGTGCTACTTTAGCAAAGTATCTCAAATATGGAACGAACTCCAAAGTCCACATGGAAACACCCTGTAGTTTAAAACACACACTTAATATCCACTTAGGTAAAAGGCAAATAGGATCATCGTTGCTTAATGTTCTACACTGGCTTCACATCCAATTCTAAATCCACTTCAAAACAATATTTCCTGAATGATTTATCATTCATTTTTGCAACTGTTTCTCTCCATGACTCATCCTAATACCTAATCTCAGCAGACAGTCTCCAGAGCAAAGCTTTTGAAATCAAAGTACCTACAACTAGAGGCCCTGATTTATAACATTGTTATCATTAAAGCTTCAGCCTTGCTACTTCAGCTAAAAACACAAGACTCCCCCAAGCATGATACTTCAATTATCTCTTTCCTGGAGATAAACATCAAATATGATTTTCATTAAAAATAACAGTGAAATAGTCTGGAAAATGTAGTGAGCATATTTTTCCTATCTGTAAGAATAATTTTTGTAATTATATCTATATAATTTAGACTTCAGTAGTACCCACAACATAGTATGTGCACTAGAAAAATCATAAAACAAACCAGCTCTTGTCCCTAAAGAAAGGATGAAAGAGGAGAGAACAAGGCTATAGTCAGAAATTATGGTTCTTGGCATAAGCATTTCCTAGCTAATTTATTCAGTTTTGTTTCTTTTCTTAAATGGAAGCATCATATACTTTCAAAGAGCTTTGTTGTTTGCTTGGTTTGACTACCTTTGATAGGTGTTTAGCTACCTCTATTTTCTCAGAGTATTTTTATCACTCCCATCATTCTGTATTATTTTAAGGAGGAGGATATTGAGACTTTTTTTTCCATTCTGATGGAATTTTCTTCTACAAGCTGAAATTTGTGACAATGAAAGAGAACACCGGGGGGAGACATCCTTGCTGATACAAGAACGGATTAAAATGGAGTTTGTACCAGGCACTGCCACCACCAACGAGAAAATGCACAGAAGACACATGCAAGGTAAATGGCAAAACAACAGAAATCAGGAGAGAAATAGAAATATCCTGGCTACTTTAAAAGGTAGTTTTGATCAAATTTGTGCACCCTTGAATTAACATCAGCCTTGTTGACTATGGAGAAATCTGCATAATGTAGTAACTGTATCATAAACACCAATGGCATGCTGCACTGATTTGGGAAGAGATGTCATTCCCACTATGGAAGAGAAAGCAAAAATCCTAAAGAGCAAAGGAAGTGCATTGACAGTTGTAAGCATTAGTGAGGCAGCCTACAACAGTTAAATCTGAGGGAACCACATCATCACAGACAGAAGAGTTTCTTAAGCAATAAATATTTCTGAGGGTCAGGAACTGGCCAAGAGTCCCTAAGTACAAAAGCCACACTCACATCTAACATTACAATTCTCTGCCAATTTACACGACTCATGTGAGTAGCATAATTCTCTTTTAGTTTTGTATTGTCTTTCAGTATCCAAGGAGTAGCAATCTGATAGGATCTGAACGTATCTTAAAAAAAAAAAAAACAACTGCCACACTGAATAGTTTCATTGGAAGTGATACTAACAAAATTAGTAGGTTTAAACACTCCTCAAAACCAACGCAGTGCTTCCAAACCCAAAACACCATCACATTTTATGTTAGTTTCTCCATATGAATGTATCTGTGGGACATGCATCCTGATACAATAGCTTGATACAAAGCTCTCCAGATGAAATAACTTTTGTCTTCAAAATCATCATGCACAGTACCCTAACACCTTGAATACTTTTCAAAGTACTGGCAAAGCTGATCCTCAGTAAATACCATGCATTAACATAGCAAAACCAAAATTTTGAAGTGAGAACTTCTGTCTTCTATTTTGATTAAAATACCTGAAAAAAAATAAAATATTTTTTGACTCTGGTAACTACCCAAATACACCTTCAAGAAAAAAATCATTTCTTATAGGACTATTTCTTTTGCTCTCATACACTTGTTTACATCTAATCACTTTCTCACTCATCTGAAAGTCCATACAATGCTGTTCACATTAAGATACTTTAATGGAGTGAGCTGAAACAACAAAAAGCTGTAGTGCCTCCTTCCCAAAAGATTCTGGATGAAAATAGAACACATTTCTCACACACAAAATCAGAGAACATAAT